AGCTATATAATTGGAGGGGACCAGTGCAAATGAAAATACAGAGAGCCTTGTTAAAACTGTATTAAGAATTACAAGATGGTGACAGCAGAGTATTAAACCAAGCATGGGGCCCTTCTGTGACTGCGCAGGTCGCACGCCCATGAAGCTGGGCCTGTATCTGATACTTAAGGGAGAGGGCAGAGAAACCTTTATCCTCTTTAAAGAAACAGATTCTCAGACACAGGCTAACATCTGCCCAAAGATCAACTTAGGCCCCCTTCCATCCCCTAAAAGTACGGGGGACTGAAATATATACCATCTTTCATTTCTTTGAGGAAAAGTCTAGGTTATTTAATGAACATCTACGTTAGTCATGCATCTGCTATCAGAGATCTCACTCTCCCATATTCATAAGTCCTCCAAACATCCAAAGACCAAGAGAAGGCCCGTGAGCAATCCACACAAATGAGGCCTCCTGGTGACAAAGCCTAGGGTCATCCAATGCCAAAGGGACCCTAAGAGGGATCTGCCTCCCCAGGGATCCTTGGGCCCTGGCCAGACTGAAGTTGAACTCAGGGGATCCTCTCTGGGGGCACTGGTTTGAGTACCAGTGACATTCTGCTGTTTCCTGGCTAGGGAGGAAGTTCTGATTAGGCCCTACCCTCTGTCCACTTGCATTTTCTGAACCACTGTATTTTTGTTCATGCTGTTCTCTGTTTTGGGTAACCTGATTCTGAGAACTATGAGAATGTCTTCATCTCCTACATCCAAGCCAAGAGTGACTTCCCCCGCGGAGGCATCCCCTTTCCAGTAAGACTGGCAAACTGTCGCCTTCACCCATTTCTTGCTTCTAGCACAGCTGCACGAGGGCAGGGCTGTCTTCTTACTCACACTGTGTCCTACGAGCCTAATACAAAGTCTGGTATGTAGCTGGAGAATAGTAAACATTTGTTGAACAAATATGAATAAAGGAATTAGGCATATATGGCACTATTTCCATAGGAAATGTGACAAACAGAAACAGTAGTCATATCCAAAAGGGTGGTTTTTGATTATAATTCTTATTTATAAGAATAATTTTAACAACTGCCATTTACTAGGCCTTTACTCCTGGACTGATTATTTGACATGCATTGCATCATTTATACTTTTAAAAAACTCATGAGGATTTTTCTTTCCAATATTACCTTTATTTTAGAGATGAGAAAACTGAAGATCAGAGAGAGGCAGTGCCTTGCCTCAGAGGGCTGGCCCCATACGGTCCGGCCTGCCCCAGGCCTGCCCACTAGTGACCACACTATACAGCCCCTTGTCTTTGACAAGAGTCTACACACCATGAAAACTCTAACATCTAATACTTTGATCTATTATGTATTTAGCTAAATAGTTAGAAATAAAAAAGACAGTTCCCTAGTACTACAGTAGGAAACACTCCTAAATCTTACAGATTTGCAGGCAGGAAAGTCTTCATTTATATTGATCCTTGCTCCCTCCTCCAAACCCAGAAGCTGAGTGCTAGAATTCTACTCCTTTCATAACTTGAAATACAATTTACTTGATACAAGGGGAAAAATACAAATTCTCTCAATGTCTATTTACTTACAAATAACCCATTTCTTTATCCAGACGCTTTGAGGATGCTTATAACAAAAGTCTTGCACATGGTTAAGAGTACTAAGAAAGAAATCAAGAGCTGGGAAAGCAGACACACAGGCCAGGAAAGCCAAAGGTCGTGGCTGTTGACCAAGCCTCACACACCTGCTGAATCCAATCTTGGTGGAGGGTCCCAACACAAGGGACAGCACAGATCTTTACCAGTGCTTTAAATCAAGTTAGGACGCTAAGAAAATACTATTAGAAAGAAAAATTATTGTCATAAAGTTGGTCATGAAACGATAGGTATTGTGTAAGAATAAAAAAGGATTTAAAAAGGCCAAGTACCATTATTAGATATGACCAGGTGGGCACGGGACAATAAATGTCCAGGTTTATGTTTCTGTAATAACCATCAGCTAGTAAGCGATACTGGAAAACATAACCAGTATCTGAAACCGGAACCTTTTCTTTTCCTTTCTTCCCACGGAGCTAGCACAGCACACAATCACATTCCACTTGCTACAAGGAATAAAAACGAAATGCTTCAAATGCAGATAGCATTGTATAGAAGTGTACTTTCTTAGCTGTTTTTCCCTTGGACTTGAAAACATTCACTGACATCAATCAATTTCTTTGGTGCTAAAGCTTTCTCTGTTTTGATGGCATTTTTTTCTCACCAAATCAAACGAGTCATAAAATGTCGTATTTTCTGTTGCTGAAGGATGGTGAGAAGCTGCAGAACCTGGAACAAAAGACATGGAACAACAGAGGACACCATCGTGTCCCCCAAACACGATGGCTGGACACTTCCATGCCAAGGAAAGGCTGTCTCCTCGCCCTGCGGAGGCCAGTCTGCTCTGCCCAGTTCCCCAGCTCACCAGTTCTGCCCCTGATCTGGAACTCTGACTACTACTAGGCACCCTGGTGGAAGGAGGAAAACCAGGAACTGCAGGAGCGCACGGGCCCTAAGCAGAAAAGAAACAGAAAACATCGCTGGGCATGATAGGGACCAGGTGTCATTTGATCTTCATGTTTGTATCCCCAGTGCCTTGCAGAGAGCCCTGCCTGTACAGAAGGTTCTGAGGAGCTCTCTGCTAGACTCAGCTAAGGTTTGGAGACCTAAGTTACCAGGTGGGGTCTTTGAGGATAGTACCTCAAAATTCTCATGCAAAAAATATCTGACCTCTCTCTTTAATAGGGTAATGGTAAGATTAAACTGAGTCTGTTTTAAAAGCTCTTTGACAAAATATTAGGTGCTATTCAAAGACAAGAATCACCAAGCCAATCCAGTGGCCGGTTTCCAGGGTGAAGAATGGTCACTGCGAAAGTGGCCCCATGACTTCTCCTTTCCTGCCAGGTGCCTGTTGCCCCTTCTTTCTGCACCTTCTTTGTGAAACTCATGCTGCATCTTCCAGCAGCTCCAGACGCTTCTCTATCCCCCCGCCGGCACACAGACCCACTCTAACAGAGGACACCACGCACCGATGCTGAGGAAGTTTGCTTCTCCTAGCTCTGGGATACCAGGCAACCCCTCTCAGGGTAAGACATGGTGACAGGGCCCCTCACAGAGCTCGCGTTACGTATTACTGAGCTCGGGTTGAAGGAAGCACCAGGTAAAGGCCTCTGCCCTCTTCCCATGGAGAGCCAGTTCCGCCTGGTGACTCGCGATGTCAGCGGCTGCCTCCCTGTGCAAGTTCCAAGGGCGTGACCCCATCAGCATGGACTGCAACAGGGTCTGCTCCATTTTCTACAAGGACAAGTCTGTACTTAAAACTGGAAGACCTATTGGTTAAGGTTTTATTTTTCTAGGACTGAAAGACTGTAGCTACACTTTGTAGCTTTTCCTTTCTTAAAAAACTGTAGGTATATGTTTCCCAGAACCACATTTTACATGCGGGTCAAGGGCCCTCTGCACACGGTGATGCCAGTGTTGAGCGCTGGTGTAGTTTATCATCTTGTGGATGAAATTGTGCAAGATTGCTTGCAGTCTTTATTAACCACTGTCTAAAAATAAAACTAGTTGGGAACTAAACTGAATGAGTCCAGCAAATATTATGATCTTCATTCAAAACCTGCATTTTATTTCTCTGAGAGAGTCTGAGTTGGCAGGAATCACTTGCAGATGAGATAATAATTGTTATTAAACAGAACTATGTTTTGGCTTCTTTGTTTCTTCACTTACATGGATGATGTGAACTCCCTCTACAGGACCCGGATCCGAGTCCCCTTGTCAGGGGATAAACGTAAGGGAATGATTCTTCTAGCAAGCTGCTGACAAGGTCTGAGTGTCTCCCCAAGCCAGGAGTGGCCCTAGACAACCGTTCTGTTCTCTATGTGAGAAAGAAGGGTTTAACAGCTACTTCTCTGACATGAAACTCTAAAACTAAAATAATTATTTGTGCACGGGCCTTCTAAAATTTAATTAGTTCATATCCAACAATCTCAAACTCAATGGAGAATATTTTGAAACTAATGTTTCCAGGCAGATTTACAGGAAAAGCTAATGTTGCTTAAAACCAGTTAGTTCACGGGAGCGTTGCAGACATTTGTTTATGATGTCTGGGATCACCCTTAATATCATTTTGAAAACTTTACATGTAAAAAACAATTCAGATTAGCTCTAGAGTTGTAAAGCAGATCTATTATAAATAACATTCTTTTTTGCAAAAAGCTTGAGCTTTGTCCCCGGGGACGGCAGCAGCACACAGTAGGGTGACTTGGAGTGTGATCTGAGGGTCACCAGCCTGGGGGGCCTTCTTGTCACAATCCAGAGTCCCACAGCCCCTGACCAGCAACCAGAATCTCACAAGACAGGACCCAGCAATCTCTTCACAAATTCCTCAGCAATCCCATATGCCCAGCAAAGTCTGAGAACTGCTCCAAGGAAATACAAGGCTTTCTCTGCTCTTCCTGTCAGCCCCCTAAAACCCATCCCTTAAGGAAGACAAGCCTGATAGGAATCAAGGCAAGTACTCGATAAATATTTGCTGGAGTACAAAATGTACTGTGTAAGGATATTACCTCTCCCCTTTTCCTCAGGCTGCCAGGAAGCTTGAAGTCACATTTGAACTCAATCATAGAAATTTGGTAGTCCTTCATGGCTTGTATTTTTAAGCTCTTTTTTTGTTACTCTCAAATTTTTACTCTTGTATTTTCCCTGGTTCTAATTTTTATCTTTTATTTATTTGCTGCCATTGTTTTAGTTTATGATTTTTGTAAGCACTCTCGAATCCTCTATGGAATAAAACGAGGTATAAATATATAAACCCACTTTCGTACAGATATAAATCAAAGTGGCTGATCTTTGTGTTCCTGCCATGTTCCTTCCCATGCTAAAATCCTGCCACCGAGACCGGGCCACGCTCCTTTGTTCTGGCTGTTGGCCGAGAGTCTTTTCTCAGAGTTTTCTATGAAAGCAGCCTTACTTGTGTCCTTGGAGCTCGATGGCTGTTCCTTTTCTCCCTCCGATGTCCCACATGATGACGGAGTGATCTGAACTGCCTGAGAACAACACCCGTTGCACTGGGTCCCAGCAGAGAGCGGTCACCCCACCTGAGAGGACAGACACAGCCGGACATCAGTCACAGGGTAAAAATGTTACTCGCCAATGAAATGTGAACGCAAAGGAGCCAGGATCTCGTGCAGTTCCTGGCATACGATAAATTTTTGTTAAAAGCACAAACAAATAAATCCCAAGAGGGAAAAAATTGGCTCCAAGAATAAAAATCCCACCCTTTTTAAGCATTTTTTCCCCAAAATTTAATGTACCATAAAATCAATTATTGTAAAGACCAAAGGGAAATGAAAAAGACAATTAATTGACCTTCAAAAAATAGACAGCATTCTAAGAAGAATGGAAAATACTGTACTGTTTGGACACATTAACCATATTTTCTTAACTGCTACCCACCTCCCACCCTGACAATAACAGCTGACAAGTGCTCCATTAGATTTTTTACTCTTGAATATCAGATATAATTAAGCTACAATATCAGAATTTAAAATTATTTTTTCTCTTTGGGAATTTTAATTTACAGATTCAGGAAAATCACTTACATTCTTAAGTGTCAGTTTCTTCAACTGTAGAATGGGAACTGTGGTAATCCCACAACCACCATGACCATCACTACTAATAATAATACCCACATAGCCATTACCTGCTCCACAGGGTGGTGGTGAGAACTGGATCAGTTACAGAGGACCCCTCTGTGAGCTGTACTGCATAGTACAGATGTTGGTCATTAGATTACTCTAGTGATGTGGCTACAAAACATGATGACAGATTTTCCTCCACGGTAAGACCCCTTGGAGATGTACTGAAAACAGTAACAATTTTTTTCCATATAAGATGAGCACAAAGCCTACAAATTCTTAAGAATGTCAGAAATACTCATTTTTTTTACATTATTGAAAAAATATTATAGTCTGAAAAGAACATAAAATAGTTTCTCATTTGTTAGAATCTGACATTTTTCTTATTTAGATGATCAATTTGTTACAATGAGGTGCTATACTTTAAAAGCTTTTAGGGAAGTTTCTCTCATATAATTGTCTCAGAAGATTTCTTTACGTTCTTTTCCATAGGACTCTGCTTGGTAAGAAGATTTTTTTTCTTTTTTTTTAAAGATCAAAAAAGGTAAGAAAAACCCCCAAATCAGAACTCCACTATTCTGGATTGTGCTCACTAGCTTCTTCCTATACCTGCACGCGACCCTGCTGGTACACACTCCGTGCATGCGAGAATAAACATCGCTTCCCCCAGTGCCTATGCGGTTTACTACCCCCCGCAGCTCCAGCCTGTAGCCCCTGCCACCACCATCCGCCCCATAGCAGCAGCCAAACACAGTGCAGGGTGTGGACAGGCTCTAGTATTGCCTGTTGAATGAATGAAGGGGCAGGTGAATGGAAACATAAAAATCCTTTTATCTCCACTTCTTGCAAATCCTTGCTTAAATGCCACCTTCTTAGAGACACTTTCCTTGACCAGGCTCATCACTCCCCTGCTTATTCTGTTTTGTTTTACTTGGTTGACTGTCTATGGCCCCAAGAATATAAGCTCTAGGAGGGCTAGGCTGTGGCTTGTCCACTACAGTACCCCCAGGACCTAGAATTCTGCCTGGCTTACACACAGAAAGCACCTACCCAATAGGCATGGGCAAATGATCGAATGAAGGAGTAGGAAGACGAATGAATGCCCTTGGCCTTGTTCTTAGCAGATGAGACAGGCATGTGTATCTCTTTTCCTGGCTGACCAGTGATGTCACTGTGATGTCACTATCTACTGATTGCACCTTTTAGATCAGGGCATGCTCTGCTCAAGGAGAGTCTCTGAGATATTCTTGCATAACTGGTTAAGCCACTGTGATTAGGGGGACAGGGGACAAATGTATGAATTCCCCTACATGTAAAATGGGTAGCTCAGGCCGGGCGCGGTGGCTCACGCCTGTAATCCTAGCTCTCTGGGAGGCCGAGGCGGGCGGATTGTTTGAGCTCAGGAGTTCCAGACCAGCCTGAGCATCTCTACTAAAAATAGAAAGAAATTAATTGGACAACTAAAAATATATAGAAAAAAAAAAATTAGACGGGCATGGTGGCGCATGCCTGTAGTCCCAGCTACTCGGGAGGCTGAGGCAGGAGGATCGCTTGAGCCAGGAGTTTGAGGTTGCTGTGAGCTAGGATGACGCCATGGCACTCTAGCCAGGGCAACACAGTGAGACTCTGTCTCAAAAAAAAAAAATGGGTAGCTCAGGTTCTTTAAAGCATCATGTCAGATTTAAATAATGGTGGGCAGTGATAAAAAGAGTGATTAGAAAGGCTTAATTGACTCAATTAAAAACACTTAATTGGAGGGGCTGGGCTGTTCATTCTGTTAGAATCAATATGGAGATACTGCAGTAGGGATTACAAATGTACCAGGTTACAGATACCTTTAGATTCCCCCATCAATATACACCTACACATCTACAAACACTGCACCACGAGGAGCAGGCCCTCTGGCCTTCTTTGTTGGTGACTATGGGATGAGGTTTACGGTGAAGGAAGTGAAAGTTCAGATATGGATTACAAGTGCACAGTCTCTGAACCAGAATCTAGGCTTAAAGCCCAGCTCTACCTTTTTAGGTATATGACCCTGGGCAAGTTATTTAATGTCTTTGTGTCTCAGAAGTCTCATCTGTAAAATAGAATAATAGACCCTAACCCACAGTTTTGTTGAGACTAAATGGGTTAATATATATAAGCATACAGAATAGTGCCTAGCACATGGAAAGTACTCAATAAACATCAGTTATGATCATAGTACAGGAGGCCTCATCTATACAACCTCCACGAAGGTGTCCTTTGCTTAGTCGGCCTTAAGGCAGTGGGCTTCCAGTCTCTGCGCATGTCTCTATTGTTACATTGACCTCACCAGATTGAACTTTGTTGGATTATAAGTCTGTCCCCACAGTAGACATTGGATTCTGTATCTTTGTATCTGAGCACAGTACGCAGTGCCTGGTACACAGGAGGTGCTCAGTAAATGCTGACTCATCTGACCCGCTGAAGTGGATGGCAGAGAGGAATGGGAGGACGACAATCAAGAGCATTCAGGAGAGCCCTCCCGTTGGGGCTGGCGGGAGGGCTGGGCGTAGGACACTGAGGAGCAGAGACAGAGGGGAGAGGCGCCCCCAGACACAGCCTTCCTTCTGAGGGAATTTCCCTGTGTCTCCCGCAGACGGGGCTTCCTAAGGAACTATAGTCCTTTCTCCTCAACACTTGGCAGCAGGGAAAGCCAATCGCATTCAGCAAGCCTGCGCTGCAAGCAGGGCAGACACGTGCACCTCACACCCCAGCCCACACTGTGAGCACAGCCAAGCGCGCCAGTGTTTATAGTTTCCCCGTGTTTATACTTTAAATGACAAAAACCACTTCTTCACATTTCATTTTACTTCATTTCAGGTTAAGCCATCTTTCTGTTCCCTTTCAATGTTTCCTTTTGTGCTTCTCCCTTCCTTGGACCTCTCCAATATGCCCTACAGGATAAATTTTAAATTAAAATGATTTAATTCTTAAAAATCAAGGGGTTCTAAGGAGTGCAATGCGCACCACCCGAAGGATGGACATATTTGAAACTCGGACTTGGAGGGGGGGACCAAGGGCAACATACGTAACCTAAACATCTGTACCCCCATAATATGCTGAAATAAAAGAAAAAAAAATAAAAAAAAATAAAAAAAAAATAAAAATATTAAAAAAAAAATCAAGGGGTTCTAGTTACTCTTTAATGGGTACGGAGCTCTGTTTGGGATGGTGAAAAAGTTCTGGAAATGGATGGTGGCGATGGTTGCGAATGTACTCAATTGTCACTGAACCGTACACTCAGAATGGTTGAAACGGTAAATTTTATGTCATGTGTATTTTTATCAGAATAAAATTACCAAAATATCTTTAAAATAAAAGTTTTTATAATTATAAAATTTATCTATACTATTATATACCCTCATAAATGTAAATGTTAATGGCTGGCTAATATCCCATCACCTACTCGTATCTTAACTTATTTAACCAATTGTTAGATTTTTCTTGTTGCTGTTATTGTTGTTTTTTTGAGAGCCAGGGTTTTGCTCTGTTGCTCAGGCTGTAGTGCAGTGGCACGATCATAGCTCACTGTAGCCTTGAACTCTCGGGCTCACGCAATCCTCCCACTTCAGCCTTCTGTGTAGCTGGCACAACAGGCACACGCCACCGCGCCTGGCTAAGTTTTTTATTATTGTTTTGTAGAGATGCGTCTCGCTGTGTTTCCCAGGCTGGTCTTGAACTCCTGGGCTTAAGTAATCCTCCAGCCTCGGCCACATTTCTGATTAGTTAGAAGAGAATCTCAAATGTAGGACTGAATGAATCAAAGAGTATACACGTTTTTAGAAATTTAATACATGTTACCAAATGCTCAGCAAACTAATTTTTTTGAGACCTTTACCACATACCTTGCAAAAGTGAAAGACTATACGGAATGTTACAAAATCAGAGTTGGAAACTGCTGGGTCTGTCTTTACCAGAGTGTGGTATCAGTGTAACGCAGTGAGAGTGTCACGACATACTCTTAAGGGTAAGATGTACAGGGTGACATGTGGCTAAAGGAGAGCCTCTTGAATGAAATATCTGACCTTTCGGTAACTGCATTTTGCTCTAGGTTGAAGCAACGAGGGTTTCTGTAAGGCTAAATGCGCTCCATCCCTAGACTATATACCTTCTTCTAGGGAACCACAAGTGTACATCCAGCTGTCTCCTTGCCACCACCCCAGGGACGTCTCCTGAATGTGTTCAGTTCAAGCACTGTGACACCCTCTCCCAGACCTTCTCTACCTACCATGCTCCGAGTTTCAGGAAATGGCAGCACCATTCACCACATGCTCCAGACAGAAGCCGGGGAGTCACTGCTGCCCCAGTGAATCACCACATGCTGCTGACCCCCACGCACCAACCAGATCTTGAATCCCCCTCCTCTTGTCTCCACACACACTGCTGTCCCCCACTTCAAACAAGCATCACCTTTTCTAGGGACTCCAGCCTAG